TAAATTTAATTGGAATACGTTTTCTCATGTTTGACCTCTTTATTTGAAGTGACTTTGATGATTATTTGTTCCACGATAAAAACCTTCACCTCTCAGACCCATTAATGAGGAATTTCAATCAAATCCACACATGCATGTTTCTCTCTTATCCCAATCGAACACTAAAACATCTTCTGACCTAAGTGTCACTCTCCGTTGTTATGAGTCACTGAAGAAATTAATTAATGCCTCCTTCTTCATTGATATATACTCCGACCAGAAAAAATATATCAAATAAAAAATCTCTAACAAAATCATGTCGATATTTAAATTTGAAAACTCTTTATGACAAACTAGCGTCGAGAGGGCACGCCATCTGTCCGCTTTTTTAAAACGCGCGAATGAAAATATAAATGATACTTTTTGTTTAAATAAATTTTTAAAAAAATGCAATATATGAAAGTTAATAAGAAGTTATGTGAAAGTTAATAATATGAAGTCATTAAGGAAATTATACAATAAAGTAAGAGTAAAAATGGTAGAAAAATAGGTCGCACCAAAATAAAATATTTCCTTTATATATTGTATAGATGACACAGTAGGGCAAACTAAATAAGAAAATAATCATAAGGAGATATCTAAGAATAATATGATCTGCTATTATTGAAATGTGTTGTCTAATCCATCAATAAAAATAACTAGAAGAAAATCTTAAGCATGTATTGCTCGTAAACAATCAAAAACTCTATTGTGCTCATTTCAAACTTTACATCCATATCATAAACATTTTTACTAATTTTTTTTATTACTAAAATATACATTCACTAAACATATTATATTTTAGGCGAAACAATCTCCTTGCTAATAAAACTTTTAAGGTCAAAATTCAAAATTGTATCTCTAATACTCCTTTTATTTTATAGTATAAGCAAATTTTACTTTTTAAATATGTTAAAAAATAAATATATTTCATCCATATATATATATCATATATATTAATTATTTAATATATCTAAAAAATAAAATTTAATAGTATTCTTTAAATCTTTGTCGAAATTAAAGTGTTTCATAAGGTCATTAAATACACCATAAATAACTCGTAAGTATACTCATAATTACTATTTTAATTTCTTTCTTAAAAAATACTTATCACTTTTTTCTTTACAAAGCTTTGAAACATAATTTAGACGTAAATGTCCAAAAATAGAGAATTAGTTAGAAGAGGCTTCTCATCATATTATATATATATATATATATATATATATATATATATATATATATATATATATATATATATATATATATATATATATATATATATATATATATATATATATATATATATATATATATATATATATATATATATATATATATATATATATATATATATATATATATATATATATATATATATATATATATATATATATATATATATATATATATATATATATATATATATATATATATATATATATATATATATATATATATATATATATATATATATATATATATATATATATATATATATATATATATATATATATATATATATATATATATATATATATATATATATATATAGTGGCGGAGCCAGAAAGTTTTTGAAGCCTGAGCAAAAATTTAAAGACAATAAATTCATATTGTATATATAAATAATTATTAATCAAAATAAAAGATTTTTAATTTAATTGATTTCGGCATAATGTTAAAACTAACATAGCCATATCCAATTTGAGGCTGATACTAAAATGGAATGGAATATCATTTCATATGATTCATAATAATTCTTGAAATTAGCAACAAATTAACAACATAATTTTATTTACTAGTGTAACTACAAACTAAATTTAAAATACAAATTCCTAGTTAACATCAATTGAACCATATAATTTAGAGTGAACATAAATTGAAGAATTGGACCTAATATATTTTTTATATTATTTGAGGATAAAATTTATTCTTTTCTTCTTCTTTTTTACAACACTATACATGTTTTTTTTATAATAATTTTAGTAGCTGCTACTTTTATGTTAAATTTTATTTTTTCAAGTATTAATTTTTTGTTTTTGGTTAATTTGGTCATAAATAGCAACTTTATTTTAATTTTGCACTTTTTGTAATATAGTTGAATCTAAATATTATCATATAAAAAAATTAATATAATGTATGCTTAATTGCATAAAAAAGGAAAAAAAATATTTTATTTGTGAAAAATGTTTAAATTACGGCGGTTAAAACTGCCATTATCAGCGACAAAAAACCGCCTTTTTATTTAATATATATTATGACATGAGAAATTTTATTCAAAAGTACTATTTTTCTGCATTTTTGTTAATTGTGGCGGTTTTAACCGCGATAACAGCACTTATTAACCGCCACAATTTTCATATTCTTTAATAAAAGAAGGCAAAATTTTGGGACCGAGCCCGGGCACATACCCAGCCTGGCCGGGCCTTAAAACCGCCCATATATACATATATATATATATATATATATATATATATATATATATATATATATATATATATATATATATATATATATATATATATATATATATATATATATATATATATATATATATATATATATATATATATATATATATATATATATATATATATATATATATATATATATATATATATATATATATATATATATATATATATATATATATATATATAATACCAAAATTAATGATATTCATTTAAAGAGTTATTATTATTTACCAACATTTTATTAATTTGCATAACAATCAGACTAACTTCTAATTGTTATAGTTGAAGACTGATCAATTTAATTTAAGATATTTATTTTTGTTTGTAGTTCGACCAAAGATAATTTAGTTAGAAGACAGATTCTTGCCACATATCCTCAAGAATGTTTGACGAATTGTGGTGCAGGTGATGGCAGAGAACATTTGCTTGTAACATGTGATTTTTCGATAGACTTTGACCTATCAATTTAATTAGTTAGGGCTTCTTATGAAAAAGTTTTGGATCATCTCTTGCAATTTGGTTGATTTGATGATTTTTCAAAAAATATTCAATTGACTTTTAACACTAAATCAATTATAAGCGTTATTTAAAAGGATAAAACTTTAATCGTATTAGTAATTAAAGTCAAAATATGTTATGATTATTAATTATAGAGGCTATATAATTTATCTTACTTATCAAGTGTTATGAGAACCACTTTCTCCTAATTTTTCCAGGATTTTGTGTTGTAATTTTGAATATTTTCTTATAATTTTTGGTACATCTTATACTGAATTAATTTATTTTGGTCATTATATATATTATATTTCATTTTGATTTTAAAAAAAAAAGCATTTTATTAATTTGAATGAAATCCCGGATCAAAATTTCTAAAATACAATTATAAAAACAAACCCCATAAAATGCAAAATAGCTTTACCAAATTCTCCAATAAAAGTTAGCTTTCTCAAAACAAATTATTACTTCACTTGAATATTATGATTAAAAAAATTACCATCCTTTTGGGACACTTTTTCACACACAACAACCATGAATAGAACTTTTAAACAATACATTGATTTTGATATCGTTGCTTCAACCGAATACATACATTTTTTATTTTCTTTAATTTCATTGACCTAATTCAATAACTAACCTTAACCTTAAAAGGACCATTTCAAAAACAAAAAGCAAAACTAACCACAAAAGATGGAGGGAATTTTATAATTTCAACCTATTAAATCATTTTACTCTCTATCTTAAAGGTGTCCCTTCCGGTCAAGAATAAAGTGAAATGAGAGAGACATTGAAGATACAAATTTAAAATTTTAATTTGTTTAAAAAAAAAGACGAATTTCAATCAATTCATAAATACTACATATTTTTAATTTAAAAATAACAAAATTTTATGTAAATGTTCGCAAACCAAAAGAAGAGAACAAAATAAAATAAATATATTAAAAAATAACAAATATATTCGATAGATCAGCATCGTTTTGCATGTACCTAACATAAATAATTTTTTTGGGAAAAATCCTACCTCAACTCAACTATCAACATTGATACTAATTGATTGATCGATATTACTAGAGTTCGAACACTTGTACAATATTATTTGTGCGAGTTCTCGAAGTTATTATCACTTTGTCTCGTAACAATTTTATAGTTATTATCACTTTGTCGGGGAAACAAGTTTTTAACTTTTAATTAATAATACTAGTATCATTTAAATTGAATTTCTGATATTTTATATTTAAAATAAAAAAAAATTTGAAATATTATTTTAATTATGGGGTCATGAATTTTGGTTCTTTTTAAAGTTGAAAGGTGAAGCCACATCTTCCATGTTCACCCGCCGCCTGTAAGAAGAAGGAAGAGAAGAGAAAGGGTGCATTTTCCTTATAACCTAAAATTTCATCTTCTTTTTCCTTCTCTTACAAACAACCCCAACCCCAATTTCAAATTCCTCTAACCCTCATTCATTATAAAGATTCTTTTTTTCTCACTTTGTTCAAGATTTCTTCTATATACAGAGAAACCCTTTTGGAATCACATCATAATAACCCAGTTACAGAAAAGGGTTATTATCAGAACAGAGAGAAAAAGCAAGTGCCTTTGTAAAGCCCGTCATTGTGAACAAGGTTCCTAATTATTCTCTCCCTTGTGCGGTGTTGTTGAAAGTTTCTTCCTTTTTCCAATTTTCTTATTTTATTTTGTTTATATTATTTTTCTCTTATGATATCTATGTAATGTCTGTCACTGCCAATATATCTTATCCGAATCAATCATAGCAAAAACAAAAAAAATGAAAGTCACTTTGTATTGTGTTTTTTGTACTGTTGTTGTCATCATTCTTAGTTTTATCAGAGCGAGTGGTAAGGTTTTAGTATATATTGAGACTATATCTGTCTGTTTTTATGGTCATAGGTTGTGTTGTTTTTGTCTTAGTACTGATATTTGGTGTTTTTTTTGTTCTTGCTTTGTGCATTTTGCTTTTGACAAGTTCAGTATCCAACTTAGGAGGAAGCAAAAATGAAGTATGTGTTGGTGACAGGTGGTGTTGTGAGTGGACTTGGGAAAGGAGTCACTGCTAGTAGTATTGGACTTCTCCTTCAAGCATGTGGCCTTCGAGTTACTTCTATCAAAATCGGTATTTTCTTCTTTCATTGAACTCTCACCCCCTCTAAAAATAATATTGCGGCCGGTGTTGTCAAAGTTGGTGTTTCGATGTTGTGGTGTCGTTGCAGAGACCTCAAAATGCTTTATATTGTGTCTGCATTTGTGGTTGCAAACCGCAATTTAAAACCATGCTTATGTATAACTATATAAGTCACATGGATACATACATGTATTTTGTATATGTAATTATGTATATATACATATATGTGTATGTATTTATGTATGATACTACCATTTAATTGATTGACTCAATGGATAGATAACCGTTCCTTGGTTACACAAGGTTTGATTTGATTGGAACTCTTTTTGAACAAAAATAGGGTTTTCTTTGTGTGATATGTAAGGTACCTATTCTTGTTTTAATTTTGTTTAAATTAATTTTATTTTTCATTTGTAGATCCCTACCTTAACACTGATGCGGGGACAATGTCTCCTTTTGAACACGGAGAAGTGTATGTCTTAGATGATGGCGGTGAGGTAAACAGATTTTTTTTCGTATCATAATGATGCAAATTACTTGTTTATTTTCAGGAAATTGATGCTTAATATTTTGAGATTTATAGTGACATGTCATCAGCCATTTTTGTGAATCTACTTGTGCTGTTTTTTCCCCTCTTGCTCACTCTTTCCATTTTTTGTCATTTTACATGGAAGTACAGACAAATTTATCTTTTGTTTGTTCACTTAGGTTGTTTGGTTCTAATTTATAGTTTGCAATTTTTATTCTTTTTTTTTATATGTTTTGAAGGTTGACCTTGATCTCGGAAACTATGAACGTTTCTTGGACATCAAATTGACTCGCGACAATAATATCACTACCGGAAAAATATATCAGGTGAACAGACGAACAGCCTTTTACGTGTATTTCTTATATTTGTTTTTGACTAGCCATGTTTAATGTATTATTGGATTTTTATTCGAATGTTTTTAGTCTGTTATTGAGAAGGAGAGAAGAGGAGATTATCTTGGAAAGACTGTTCAGGTCCGTTAACCATTTTGATTTTTCTTCTTTGAAGTTTTTTTTAATGGTTGTTTGTTGGTGCCTTAGTTTTCGAATTGTATTTGCTTTATTTGTAGGTTGTTCCGCATATCACAGATGCCATCCAAGAGTGGATAGAGCGTGTAGCTAAGATACCGGTTGATGGAAAAGAAGGACCTGCTGATGTTTGTGTCATCGAATTGGGTGGAACTATAGGTACGTTAATAGGTGGTAGAAGAAGAAGTTCAAAATGGTTTCTATTTTGTAAATAGTGAAAGGAAATAGTAATTGTGTTGTGAACCTTTATTTTACTAAAGTGATTGAAATGATTTTTCTTTAATGCAGGGGATATTGAGTCTATGCCTTTTATTGAAGCACTTGGCCAATTCTCATACCGTGTAGGTAATGCTTGTCACACCTAAAACCTCTTTACTAATTTACATTAGCCGATTTTGTTTTTTCTGTACTTGAGCAAATAAATTTAATTTTTTATAAATTTTGTAGGTCCTGGAAATTTTTGTTTGGTTCATGTCAGTTTGGTTCCTATTCTCAACGTTGTTGGCGAACAGGTACGTTGTAAAATATGTCATCAGTTTGCGATATATTAGTCTAATGAGAAATAAACTTTATTCATGTTACAAGTGGCATGATCAAACTTAATGAAGTTTTAATCTGCAGAAAACGAAGCCAACTCAGCACAGTGTTCGTCAACTTAGAGGATTAGGTTTATTCCCTAATCTTCTTGCTTGCCGCTGTTCAAAGGTATGTCTATTGTCCTTAATTCTCTTTTCATTGTTATGATGGTTTAACGTTTTGATGATTAAAGAATCAATATTCACTCATTTTTTCACCAGGAACTTGACAGCAGTACTAAGGCAAAGCTTGCTCAATTTTGTCATGTGCCGGTAATATGACGTCAACCCGTTTTCACCTTGACTTCACTTATTTCAAAGTCTTAAAAATATACTAATAATCTTAAAACACATTTGTATTTGCAGTTATCAAATGTACTTACTCTGCATGATGTTCCAAACATTTGGCACATTCCTTTGCTATTGAAAGTAAGTAATTCTATAGTCTTTTGAAACTCTTTTCTATGGTTGTCTTCTACGAATGCTGGAACTATATTTATGAAGTTCTATTAATTTATTTTAGGCTTTTATTAACTAAAATTTTCCTCAAAACACTTGAATTGCATGCTTTTCATTGAGTGGTTGGTTTAATTTGTGTTAGATTCTGATTTTTTTTTCTTTGGATTTATTGTGTTACAATAGGACCAGAAGGCGCATGAGTCGATCCTGAAAGCATTAAACCTGCCGGGGTTTGTCTGACAAAACTCATTATTTTTTGTATATGTTTAGAACTCCCTCTCATGGCTATTAATATCATATGATACACGCGAGCCGTACCTCAATAAACTTATATGAATTTCTAGTGTGTATCTGAAATCCCGATGTAATGAATTATGACTCATTCTCTAGTGAATCACTACCTAAACTTAGTGTTGCCAACAACTTTTTTCTTGTAAACTTTGTTTAGATAGTCACTTTTTCATTTTATTTTTGACATGAATACTGAATTATTTTGATGTTTATATAATTTTGCTTTTAACTTCAAAATGTCATAATTTTATTGGTGATGCATTGTACTATTCGTAATTGGATTTGATCAACGATTGAGAATATAGAAATTCTGATTCACGATTTTAATATAATATTCCCAACCGTTGTGATTTGTTGTTCTAAAAATGTGTTCCTAGTTATATTATAGCATTTAACTTAAGTTTCTTTCATTGAACTAATAGCCTTTTTATTGCAGTGTTGCTGCACAGCCTAATTTGAAGGAGTGGACTGTTAGGACAAAGATTTATGACAAATGTCATGAAACTGTAAGTCTAAAACATCTCAAATGTATCGTCTAATATTTAAAAATCAAGATATGAATAGATATGTCGGGTTTCTTCAAATATCCACCATTGCTGAGCTCACAACTGTTCCGTTCCCCACAGGTTAGAATTGCTATGGTGGGAAAATACACAGGCCTTTCAGATGCATATCTTTCTGTTCTTAAGGTAATTTTCTCTGAAATTAGTGGTCCATAATAATATAAATTACATTCACTTTATGCATTCTCCGCACTTGTATGGAATTGATTAAAAAGAGGTGCATTGAACTTTCTGGTCCAAAACATTATTAAACTGAATTCCAATATGCCATAAGCTAATTTTTTGTTTTTCGTGTAGGCACTTTTGCACGCATCTGTTGCTCATAATCGCAAACTTATTGTGGACTGGGTTCCAGCTGGGGATCTCGAAGATGGTACCTACGGAGAGGTGATTACTAATTCTAGCAGTTGTACAAAACACTTTTTTTGTTTTCTTTATGTCAACCCTCTGATGATTAATGTAATTGCAGGATCCCAAGGCTCATACAGCTGCTTGGACTCTTTTGAAGGTTTCATACTATTTATACTGAATGTGTTTTCTTCAATGTTTCTAGTCTAATGCTGTTTTATTTGTTTTAACGGTTTCCTAGTGTAATTATTTACCGGTCGTATTTAAATGGACTTCGCTGCAGGGTGCTAATGGAATTTTAGTTCCAGGAGGTTTTGGTGATAGAGGAGTGCAAGGGAAAATTCTTGCTGCTAAGTATGCTCGAGAACATAATGTTCCGTATCTCGGCATTTGCTTGGGGATGCAAATTGCTGTTATTGAGTTTGCACAGTCTGTTCTGGGTCTGCATGGCGCTACTAGTGCAGAATTCGATCCTGAAACCAAGACCCCGTGCGTCGTATTTATGCCAGAAGTATATTCTCTTGAACTCCCGAACCAGTTTATAATATTGCTCCTTTGAGTTCCTTGTTAAATTGGTGGTATGATGTGTTTCATTGATAGGGTTCAAAGACACATATGGGGGGAACCATGCGTCTTGGATCAAGGACAACTTACTTCCAAGTTGCTGACTGCAAATCTGCAAAATTGTAAGAATTATCACTTCGTTAGTTTACGTTCATTTGTTGCGGATTATTCAAGAGGAAAAAAGGTACTTTTTTTTAAAAACAAAAGTATCATTTTTTGTGTGGTTTCTTGATAGGTATGGTAATGTAAGCTCTGTTGATGAGCGACATCGGCATAGATACGAGGTAAAATGTGTTTTTTATATGCTGAAACTTCCTCTGCAAGTAAAGATGCAGCATAGTCACTAACAATAATTGTTACAGGTTAATCCTGACATGGTGTCTCAGCTAGAGAGTGCTGGTCTATCATTTGTTGGCAAAGATGAAACTGGGAGTCGTATGGAGGTACGTATTTATACGAAACTTCAATGGCATTGATCTTAAAATTTATTCGAAAATAACAATAATAATAAGTTTTAGTAATTATATTCACGAGTGCAGATAGTTGAACTGCCTAGCCATCCATTTTTTATTGGCGTTCAGTTTCACCCCGAGTTTAAGTCCAGACCAGGAAAACCTTCTCCGCTCTTTTCAGGTATTTTCTCTACATATTCATCGGTCATCTTAGTCGATTCGAAATCGTGTAATGATGTTGTCATGTCAATGCAATTACCGCGTGTGCTATGCATGTATTGAATAAATAAACTTTTCATTTTCTGTGGAATGACCTTTGAAGTATTTTGTTGAGAAAACAGGATTAATAGAAGCTTCTTGTGAACCAAAGAGGACAGTTACAATGCCGAGCAACGGCCACAGCAAGATACCTAATGGAATATACAACGGACACTCGCCAATACGGAAAGCTCACCAAAATGGAAACGGCTTTATATCATCCAACGGTTCCTTAAACGGTGTATTCAGCAATGGTAACGGAGTGTATGTGGATGGTAGTTGTTAGCCATCTGTCTTTACCGCCTTCGAATAATGATGGTATGACTATATTCAACGACATTATGGTTTGTCCTCGGTCGGTCGCATTGTACAGTTAGTGAGTGGATAGGTCTTTTTAGCTAGGGACTTGTCTTTCATTATGAAACCAAAATTTTTGAGTCTAACAAGCTTTTATTGTTTCCTAGTATGGTTGTGCTGTGGTGTGTGGCAATTGCAGCCACCATTGATTTCCCTTTTTTGGTCAATTACTTGGCCGAAAAATACTACACTCACTTGATTGATGATCATGCCAAATATTTGGGCTTTGGTGGCTTTTTCCTTGCTATTTAGAGTTTTTTTTTTCTATGTATACAAGTTGAAGGTGTAAAAGTACTTTCAACAAAGTGTCTTGTTTTGAGTGGTTATTAATGTAAAACTCTTATGAATATTGAAGTTGAATTTGTTTGGGGCATTTGTGCTTTTTATCTCTCTTGCCTAGAAGATTTTGCCTATAAGTTTTCTATAAATTATAATAACATAGTCAAATGTATTTGATATCAAATGAGTTAGCTGTTTTTTCAATCATACAATCCATTTATTTGAAGTGAATAATGGTTATTGGCAATTCAGGTTGATCCTGTCTAGGAAACAGAGGGTCCATACAATTGATAATTGATCAAAATTCAGAAAACTTGTATTGAGATTCCTTAACATGAATGAGACTGCACCATGTATATCACTGACAGCAAGAATATAATACAGTGACATGTGTACCAAACAATTGACATACTCAGGTTGTGTCCCACAAGGCCCAACATGGTTCATAAAAGGTGGATAACTTACAATCCTTTTTCATTAAAAAACATAAAATATGAAAAAAAAAACATTGAAAAATAAAAATAACACATTTCTCATTTTGGAGGATGAGCGTAGGTCGATTTTAGATAGACTTTGAGGTAGCTCAACTTAAGGATTATCCTGTTTGAATGGTGTAGATAGGGGTTAGATTTTTTTTTTTTGGGTGAAGAATTCACTAATAGAATGTCTTAGGGTTAATGCAATTTGCTTTGCCATCTTTTCCCATGAGATGCCTGGCATTGACTTGATTGTGGTCTTTCATTAGTTGAACATCGATTCTAATGTTCGATAGGTATCTCAGTGTTCTTCACTTTTTAGAGAAAGCTGAAATTGCATCGATCCTAATGTTCGATAGGTATCTCAGTGAAGAAGACAATTTTTAGAGAAAGCTGAAATTGTGAGGATCACGATTCACAACCTGTTGGACCCGATTTTATTGCTAAAGTGAAATATACTGAATGACTCTCCAACGTTGGGTTGATATAAAAGCCTTCAAAAGTGGAGAATATGTGTCGATTATACCGACCATAATCGGGCGGGCCTGAAGGATTTGTATCCGCTACCAAGTATAGGCAAATTGGTAAACAGTCTGGTCGGAGACAAACTGTTGTCATTCATGGATACGTATTTTGTCTACTACCAATACCCACGTTTGGATCTGATAGAGGAAAGAAAGAATTCATGATAAAGCAAGCCAAATACCTATACAATATGACACCCTTTAGATTGAAGAACGTGGGTGCGACCTACCAAAGAGTGATGAACATGTTTTTCAAGAGGAGATAGGCGATACATTATATAGACGAAATGATTGTGAAGTCCAACCAGGAAGAGTTATATGACCATCACCTCAGTCAGGTATTCAAGAGGGTTCGACAATACAATATGAGGCTCCATCCAGAGAAATGTATCTTTGAGGTCAGAGCCGGTAAATTTATAGGGTTTTACCTTACAGAAATAGGGTAGAGGCCAACCTCGACAAATGTGAAACAATCATCTGAACGAACGTGCAACCTCAAAGAAGGAGGCTATGAAGTTGAACGAGATGCTTACTGCTTTGAACATGCAACCTTTCTTAATTTACAAGACCATATATAACATTAAATTACAAAATAAATCTTTTCAAAAGTCCAAATCACTTTTTCTTGAGAAGCACTCTATTGCTGATCTCTTTTCGAAAGCTCATTTCATCGCGAGGAATATGAATATCCGAACAAAGCTGCTCCAACTGGTCCACACCATTCTTGAAAGTGGTATCTCCAAGGCCCTCTACTTAAGAAGCTAGGAAATATTTCTCTAATTGAGCCAAATCTTCCTAAAAGGCTTTCACCTCCCTTGAGCAAGCCTCTTCCTATTCTTTTAGATCATTTTTAGCGGTCACACTGCTAGAGGACAAAGTTTCCAAAGAAGATTTTGATTCACAAGAAGTTTTCTTTTCCTCTTTGACGGTGGCTGACAGATCAACCACTCTGCCAGCCAACTCGACACGAGTTACATATAGGTACACTTCCTCTTTAAGGGAAGAAAGTTAATCCAATTCCCGCTAAAGTTTAGACAACTTTTTTTTGTGTGAAGAAGATATTCATCATCCTTCTTAACTTAGTTTTGATGAATACAAAAGCTTATCAAATAAGAAATATTAAAGAAGATAAAAATTAGAATCAAGAATCAAGAATGCATAAGTTTACGGTTTTTTTGGAAGTAAAAGAATTTGATCTTGATGCTAAGGTACTCAACTGCAATTCATTATGTATAAATTTTATATGCTAAACAAATAATACTCTTATTCATTTATAAAGTTCTCAAAGTATCATGCATACAAATCTTTGAAGCAAAGGCATTAAAAACTGATTTTTAAAAATGTGTCTGCACTTTTTAAATCAGGTCTGTTGCACTTTTTAAGTAAGTTCTGGTTAACAGATTCAACAAAACCTGTTGCTATTTAAAATTTCAAAAACTAGAAAAATTAGAGAAAACAAAATCCCAAACCTGGAAAGAAATGGGTATTTTTGATTTAATCATGCTGTCGAAAGTAGGTCCAGACTATTGCTCAAACATGCTTATTTCTTCTTTGTATTTTTAGGATAGCACCCACTACATTCTCCATCTTCCTTTTGGAATGATGTCCCTACCCTGTTCGATGTAGCCACTATCATAGGGCTTAAACCAACAGGCAACACATATGACCCTAATTATATGTCTGAGGATAGCATCAACTTTGCCACTTCTAGGTTAGCATATTTGAATCACATTGCATATTATCATGACAAAGATGTCGAAGATGTATCTGATGTAGAACATATAACTTTCCTAGCGTTATGGTTATACCGCTGTGTCTTTTGCTCAAAATTGCTCCAAGTAGTAAGAAAGTTTTTAGCCACGGCGAACCAACTTCACTTTGCCCACAATCTGTGTTTAAGCAAAATGATCTTAGCCAACCTTTACGAACCCATGAGCGAAGGTGTCACCCAACTGAAGTACCTAGGGGATAAAGGAAACCTTCTCATCTCCGGGCCTTTATGGATTTAACAATTATGGCTGAACGCTTCATTCGAAGCTTGCTTTCCCTATAAAAACCTGATCGATGAAGATGCTAAAGAGGTGAAAAATAGAAGAGTCGAAGGACCACGATTGGAAAAATTAACTCCTAGCGATGATGGTCGCCCCGTTCAACAAACTTTTACTAGTTACATCATGATGTTCACCAAACGCTATGACTTCTCTCCTAATGTGGCCCCTTTTGTTGCAAGAAGATGTGGTCCTGAATGGTTTACAAGGCCATTCCCAACTCTGACGAAAGCCCAAGAAGTGGAGTCTAGTGCAATCTGGAAAGCTTTCCTGACTCCTAGGATTTTAGCCCTCAGGTTTAATCTCTCGAAAAGTCTGGTAACCCTGATCGCTTATCAGCCCAATCTTGTGGCTCGACAATTTGGATTAGTTCAAGTTCTGCCTAAACCTCTATATGAGAAGAAAAACCTCCTCCTTCTTTACAATGCATCCCATACTGAAGCTGCAACCATAAAAAAAATCGCTCGATATGCTGGTCGAACGCAACTTCTACCTGTTGCTTTTGAAGCGAGCTTCCTCTATACCCAACAATTTGATGAGTGGTGGAAAACCTATTATGCTGAAGAATTTTTTGACGTGGCTGCTTTTACACAATATATTAACAAGGCTTTCCTCTCTGTGCAGGAAAAGGTCAAGAAAGGTACTTCGAATCACATCAAGGAAATCCAAGCATTCCAGAAATACTTTGAAACTGCTTATAGACCCGGTGATATTAGTCAAATCGTCCGTGACACAACTGTTACTTTAAAAGAATTTTTTTAAAGAAAATGGAGAATTTAAAGATCCCTTCGTACGTTCCTCCCAAGAAATGTTACGAAACGACTTTTAACATGTATCCTCCTAAATTCCCTTGACTACCCAGTGCTGACTTTGGGGTGGCTTTTAGCCATCCGTTCCCAGACTGGTTTGTCTTTGGGGATTTTATAATCCTTTGACAAGAATCACAAAAGCATACTCAGTGGGTGGTTGCGACTAAGCATACATTAGGCAGTTTCAAAGGTCATCTTCATATTGGGATCAAAGATGTTCGCATTGAATCCGAAATATATGAAGGTGTGGAATGGGGGAGATTTCGACTAAACATTTTCCATTTAACCATTCTCTTTTACTTGTAATAACTGTTCCTGTTTTACTTTAGCCGTGAAAATTCCCCCGAAAAGACCAACAACCAAGAAGCTAATCGAAGTGAAGGAAGAAGGAAAAAGTAAGACAACAACAACAATAAAGGTATTTTATCTCCCTTATTGATTTTGTCTCTTTTTATATGCTTCATTATATATCTAACATTTCTTTTTCAGGATGCTCGAAAACCCCCTTAAACTCCCCAAAAAAGAAAGTCTAAAGAAATTAAAGTCCTGGCAATTGAGTCGGATGACGAAGACCTGTCCCCAACTACTGAGCAACCTCTCATAAAGAGAAGAAGACACCTCAAAATGGTTGCAGCTCTGGCCCAACCACAAACAAAAAGTATGAAGGTATCGACCACAAGACCTACTACTTTTACAATACTGGAGCCAAATCCCGAGGCCTTGTCGAAGAAAGCTTCAAATCAGCCTAAAAGCGACAGTTCTAGCCATGGGGCTAATGTTTCCAAAGTAATAC